CAAAGAGACAGTTCAATAGGACAAGCAATTTGGTGCAAACATGGCATGTGGGAGGTTCGGGTTCAATCCTAAGCGCCACATATAAATTTCATCTCTCTCTTATATGTATATATAATTTTTTAAGTCCCAGGGATGTGGGTCAGTGAAGAATGTAACCTTGGCATGTGTGAGGCCCAAATGCATCTCTCAGGAGCACCAAAAAAATAAAACTATTTTTAAAGATCTGAAATGCTGCACAAATTCGATATGTAATATTTTCCCCAAAACTATGTGCTTAAAAGAAACCATTTAAGTATTAACTTGTCATAATTCTACCCAAAAAAATAAACATTTTTCACTAATACCCAAGTAAGAAATGACATGTTTTTCCCTGGAAGACTCTTCAGTGTCCAATATAACATGACCACCAGTTTCTGTTAGTGTCCAAGAGATGAGAACAGTTAGAAAGTACTGAACCACAGGGTCCCAGTACCTAGAACCACTTGTGTGAATAGACAGCTGTAATATGAAAATAAAACCTCAGAAAAATTTTTTAAAGGGTCACATATTTTTCTATTCTCGTGCAGTATTTCCATTTGAAGGCTTCATTTAGCAAACAATATAACTAAATAAATAACGCAAATTTCTTATACCAATAGCAAGTATAAGATTTCAAAAGCAAACGTATTAAAATTACAATAAACCACAATTTCAGGAAGAAAGAAAAAGATTTCAAAAGAGCCCCCAATGAGGCTATAGAAAACTGGTATTTGTACAACCCTAGAATATAGTAAATGCAGCATAGATGACCTGGAAAGAAAGCTCTGGAAAAGTACTAGTTAAAAAATAACGCTTGAAAATGGAGATTCTATAAGGAATAAGAAGTTTTATCTATTTTTACAAAGAAATTAAATCACAGAATACTTCGAATTATTTGTATTAATGATTAGGTCATCTAATCCCAATCTACATTTAATCTCGACCAGTCACAAATGGTGCTACTAATCTAAACGATCATTTAAGACTAAAATTTATTTCACAGATGACATATTTGGAGTATCCAGCCTTTAATCCTCATACAAACTCATATCCCAATTCCTAGGCACTCTGACAGATTCCAGTATCACTGTCTGAAAAGCAAACTGCCTTACTGTTAAAACTTCCTTTATTCAACAGTGCTATTATAATTTCACTGGTGAGAATATTACTAAGAACTTCTAGTTGAGGATTTTCTTTCACACCTTAACAAAAGGCTCTGATATATTTAAATTTTAATTTAAAGGCCAAAGAAATAGCATACGAGGTAGTACCTGAGAGATAATACATCAGTCTTCCATGTACACTGCCAACCCTGGCACCAGTATGGTCTGATGAACACTGCCAGAAGTGATTCCTGAGCACAGAATCATGAGTAAGCCCTGAGCAGCACCAGGTACAGCCCCCAAACAAGAACAACAACAAAGGAAAGCGTAATGATACATGATCTTGCAATCTTTACAGCGAAGTCACCTAATAAAGCTGCTCATTTTACAGAGGAGGAAAGTAAAGCTTAAAATAATAACACAGCCAGGAAGATAATTATACAAATAACTGGCATGTGACAGTAAGTAAAGCATGTGACATCCTTATGCTATTCCAGTTAAAGATAAGTATACAGAATTATGAGGGAAGAAAACTTTTCCCAAGAAGGAAGAATGCAGTTTCAAGTAGAAACAAGTCTCTTCTACTGACAGAAAGAGAGAGAGAGAAGTATTTAGTACAGAGAAACAAAACAGCAGATAACAAAGACAGCAAAGCATCTATAAAAAGAAAGAAAATTTAAAGTAAATCAAGGCTCACAACATCACACTAGAAAGGTTTAAGAAACTACAAAAAGAACCGTGGGAATTAAATTACAAAGGCAGTAAGACAACCAGGTGCAGTGTCAGAGTTTCCTAGATATCCATAGAAATGATGCGTGTAGATACACACAAGTTAACCAACTTTCACCTTTCAGATCTCTTAGCAAAAACACAGATGGGCAGTGATCGCCTCTTACTCTTTTTAAGAAGATGTATTTTGGCAGCATAAATTTTATAGTAAAAAGAGATCCTGAAGTTTCTCAAGAATAAGGATTGCAGAAGGAACACTTTAAGAGCATGAAATACTTGACTATTTGTTATGCTCTGCCACCCATTTAAGAAGCCTGTATTGTTTAATGATTATATAAGGCACTGGAGAATTTCTGTAAGTTTATAATCTCTGCCTCCTTTGCCCTGCCATGAGTATCTCTCTTCTCCCAAGAACTCTCCCAGGTGCCAGGCAGCAGAAGTGAACAGAGCAAGCACTCGCGGTCAGATACTCAGAAGTAGCAGGCAAGAAAAAATACGTGCATGTTAAGAACCAGATCATATCTAAGCACACACAATTGGCAAGTGCGTGTGTAAAAAGAATGACAAAAACTGAACACGGGTGGGTGGAGAGGCGGGGTGTCCAACAAGGCCTCTCTGAGAGGCAGGGCGGACGGGAATGAGCGGAAGGAGACTACAGGAACAGAAGGAAGCTGGGACGCAGTGAGCGAGAGCCGGACTGTCCACACAAACAGGCAGCAAACGCACAAGGTTCAGGAGATCAAAATGACTTTGACATGCTCAAAGCACAAAGAAGGATGTGGCTTGATGCAAGAACAAACGCCATGTATGTTGCTCTCCAGCACACCAGACGGTATCCCAGACCCTGCCAGGAGTGATCCCCCAAGCAAGGAGCCAGAAGCAAGCCCTGAGGAAAGCCTGGTGTTGCCTGCAAAACCAGAAGAGGAAAGCCCAGAGGAGCGGTGGGTCAGGGAGGCAGAAGAGAGGAGAAAAAGAAATCCGTAAATCTATCTCCCAGGCACCCTTCCCAGCTAAGAGTTTAAGATCTGCCAGTGGGAGTGGGTGTCAGATTAAGGGCCAGGGAAATAGTTTGCACAAGGTCCTGGGTTTGATCCCTGGTACCCCGCGGCCCCCCAGAGCCAATGGTTGCAACCCTGGTGGTCCCCACCATCACTGGGGGGGTCTGGCCCAAAACCAGGCAAGAAGGAGACCATGAGGAAGCACTTGTCATTCCCTGCCAGTCACCAGTGAGCAACTGGAAGCTACTCCAACCGAATCAGTGACCCTGCGCAGTGTCCACAAGTTCTCTGGCTCTTACAGCAGTAAAAAGAAGTTATGCTCCTGACTTCCTGGCAGGGAGGCAATGGCAGCCTTCTCAACAGCAAGGCACTAACCAGCTCTGGGAGACACCACTTTCACTTGCATCCCTCCAGCCCTAGGGGCAATAGATACTTCCCACACCTATTAATCACCAGGTCACAACACCTGTGACACTTTGTAGTCAATTCCCCATATTAAAACCTGAGTCAGAAGTAACCTAAACATCTCCATTTCCCCGAATTTCCCTGCCAACTGACAGACGACACTGGAAGAAATATCACTCCCAGAACCTCCTTACACGTGTTTTATTTCTCACAACATCCTTACATACAGGGATGGTATATTCTACTCTTCCTATTATACAGAACAGTAAAAGGAAAAAAAGGTGGTTAATACACTAACCAAAAAACAATACAGTTAATAAGTTAAACCTAAACTCAATCTAAGTAGTCTCTCTCTTAATCCAATTTTTTACAATGTTCTTTACAATGTTTGCTTTTGATTTAAGGAAGGAAAAGAAAACATGATTGAAATCAGCTCAGGAAGCCAGTTGCACATTAATACAACAGAACTAGTTTTAAAAGCCTCCACACTCTTGAAACAATTTATATACCTGGTTTCAAACAAACCTGAATTTTCAGCATTTAATTTAATCAAAATATAAAAGCTTATAAAAACTTTGAAAATTTCTTTACAGGAGAAATTTTAACATATACATTAAAAAAAAAAACAACTGGCACTGGAGAAGTGGTACGGCAGATAAGGTGCCTGCCCTACACATGGCTGACCTGAGTTCTGAAGTGAGTATCTGCACGTGGTATTTTGATAGTTAATTTTTGAAATTAAAAAGTTATTAGAGGGGCTGGAGAGATAGCACAGCAGGTAGGGCGTTTGCCTTGCACGCGGCCAACCCGGGTTCGATTCCCAGCATCCCATATGGTCCCCTGACCACAGTGGGTAGGGCATTTGCCTGAGCACCGCCAGGGGTAACTCCTGAGTGCAGAGCCAGGAGTAACCTCTGTGCATCGCCAGGTGTGACCCAAAAAGAAAAAAAAAAGTTATTACAGAACTTTATCCTTGATATGCTGATTGAAACAAATGTCAAACCCACGTCCTCATTCCTGTGAAGCTTGGATTCTACCATTAAGACACATCCCTGACCTCGCAAAAAATTTTTTTTGATAAATTTACTTAAGAATCAAAATTTGATTTAAGAATCAAATCAAAATTAAAATTTGGAGCGATAGCACAGTGGGTAGGGCATTTGCCTGGCACGTGGCCAACCCGGGTTCAATTCCCAGCATCCCATATGGTCCCCTGAGCACCGCCAGGAATGATTTCTGAGTGCAGAGCCAAGAGTGACCCCTGAGAATCGCCAGGCATGACCCCTGAGCATCGCCAGGTGTGATAGAAAAAGCCAAAAAAAAAAAAAAAAGAATCAAAATTCATCAGACTATTTTTAAAAAGTGTTAATACTTCCTATCAACAGCTGTTAATAAATTAATTTTGAAGTAATGAATAATTATCAGTCACACGTTAGGCTTTATAAAAAAATTATGAAAAATTTAAAGCTAACTAACTACTATATTTTAGTAAAGTTTTACAGAATTTATAAGGAAATTTCCCAATATTACTAAAGTAGTACATAACACTCATATTTTAAGGACAAATTCTCTTAACTTTTAAACACATACAGAGGAAACATTTGCAAGTACTTTTCATTTTAAATCCATCCAACTAAAGAATTAGTAATTAGTAATTGAATCTTAACTAATTTCATAAAATACTGCCACTCAAGGAAAGTATTAAATGTTAATCCAGGATCATTAACTCCTACTTACTGATACTTACTGTGTGAAAGTTTATCATTTCCTGAAGACTGTCAGAAAATTTGGTCAAACTTGTCTATGAGAAAGGAAAACAAAAAGAAGTAATTTAAGAACTATTAAAATAGGCCACAAAAATGTTATTTCTGTATTTCTCAGAAAAATCAAGTTGCACTGCGTAGTAAATAATATGTACTTAAGGACAATCTAACTACCTCATTAACGTGTCCTTACAGAGAAATCATGATTACATGCAATAACATAAAACCCTAGAACGGGGTTGGGGGGGAAGAGTTCTGCCCTAATATCTGCATTATGCTAACAGGAATGACCCATATAAATATAAAGGCAAGATTAAGTGTATCAACACTGTGCCCATTTAGGCATGTATGTACCAAACAACCATTTATTCACCAATTATTATTTCTTTACCAGTTACTATTCCTGATGAAAGAAATACTGTAACACCACACAGTAGAGCAAGGGTTATAAGCTAACCCAAACTGGGACCTAACCAGAATGCTCCCATGAAGGTCGCCAGATGTGCAGTTAGACTCATTCTATAGTTATATGCCTCTATGAGCAGCTAAAAGTAAGCATAATCCTGTGCCCGCTCCTTGGACCTCAGGTAAAGGCCTCAGATCACCCAGAGACAAGTAAAATTATTCACAATGTGAACCAACCATCAGCTTCTAACCTCAGGAGATCATTACACAAACCAGCACCATGGTGAAAGTCTCTGCCTTCAGTACCATTGTAACTATTAAAGGCAAATGGGTCTCTATTTACTGACTGCCTTGCTGCATTCATCATTCCAACCATAACTTTAGTAATACTAACCTCAACTACAGCATCTTTACTAGAATATTGTGCCAGGTCTCGGATCCCATTCATGAACTGTTTGTTAGCAACACAAAAGGCTTTTCCTGTATCAATCATCACAATACAAAGCTTCACAAGCTAGAAGAGAAAAAAAAAGAGTACATGTTGGATTAAAGGTAATTTTACAAAAAGAAAGTAACTTTACAAATTATTTATATGAATAAATATTGGTAATAGCCTCGCTAAAATAACTACCAAATAACCCAGTTAAGATAAATTATGTAGGGGCTGGAGCGATAGCACAGCGGATAGGGCGTCTGCCTTGCACGCGGCCGATATGGGTTCGATTCCCAGCATCCCCTATGGTACCCTGAGCACCGTCAGGGGTAATTCCTGAGTGTAGAATCAGGAGTGACCCCATGTGCATCACCGGGTGTGACTCAAAAAGAAAAAAAAGAAAAGATAAATTATGTATTCTAAAAAAAAAAAAAATTCACTGAAAATTGCTTTCCCCCACTTTGGCTAATTAAGTAAATTCATGTTAAAATTAAAGTTATATTCCACAAGCCAATCTTCTCAGGTTCATAGTTTGTATGATAAAATCAAAAACAAACCAGAAAAAAATCATTTTATTACACTAAAGTCAACCCCACAAATTTTAACTCCATAAAAACGTACTACTTGTAAGAAAGAAAAGGAAACGAGGTACAGCAAAAGGTATGATGAAAAATAGTTACATGTTTAAAGTTCTGTAGTATGTTAAGGAGGAAAGGGGAACAAACAGGTATGGTGGGTTAGTCATACAAATTAAGCAGAGGTTTCAGTATCTAGAATGTGCGTCACAAAAAGACCAAAGAGGAAGAGGAGAAGGAGGGAGGAAAAACAAGAGAATGATTTCACCAAAGTCAGGAGATAACAAGGCATCAAAAGACAGAGAGATAATGAATACATTTAAAATTCATAAAGGCCAAGTTTTAAAAGACTTTAAAAGCATCTACTGCGCTCAGTGATGAAGATTTATTAGCACCGTTGGCAAGAAGAGCTTAAAGAGAAACCAACAGAGGAGGGTACAAGACAGACGGCCGGATCAATGTTCCCCAAGACAAAATCTGCGAAATACACACCAGAAATAGTCTAGAACAAAATGAGGATTCTGTGATAAATCAAGTAAGGAAAATGGAATTTAAAAAAGTAAACACTTTTTCATTGCTTTTTTGTTGTGTGTTATTTTTTAGCGGGGGGGGGGGGGGGAGCCGAGGGGGGTGTATGATGTGAAACAGGCAATACCTGGCAGAGCTCAGAGTCCCTCCCAGCAGTGCTGGGGATTGAACCCAAAACTGCAGAATACAGGCAATGTGCTTTTAGGAAGCCTCCCCAGCCCTACTGCAAAAGTTTCTGAGCTTTAAATATATTCATGTGGCATCACAGAGATGGTCCAGCAGGTAAGACATTTACACATGATCTACCTGGCTTTGATCCCCCCCAGCATCACACAGAGTCCCCCAGGGACTGATCCCTGAGTGAGGATTAAGCTCTGAGCACCACCGACTATGACCCCCCAAATCAAATATCAAATGTGCTTGTGTGTGTATGTGTGTGCACACATGCGCACGTGTTGAATTTTCTTGAGAACAGATAAAATATGCAGTCCTTCCCATCAATATTTGACATGGAAATTTTGCTTTAGAAGAGTAATTTTTACAAAGCCAACTTCACAAAACTCACCATAAGGACCCAGAGAAATAGCAAGAAGGCTGAAAGCACCTGCCTTGTGAGTGTCTGGTCATGAGTTCAAATCCCCAGTGTCCCACATGCACCAAGCACTACTCTGGTGGCTTTGCTATCTGCCATCCCTGGTGCCACAGGTCATTATGAGAGTGCCACAAAGGTGCAACCTCTGGTGCCCACACAGCTGAGAAGTGCAGCCCCGGGTGAGCACCACAACCCAGGCTGGTGTGCCCCACTACAAGGGAGCCCATAAACGAGTCTGTGGGCAAGCACCACACTAATAGTGTAGAAGCCCCCGTGAGCACTGTGGCTGAATGTGCAGGCGGTGCACCTCATGTTGGACTGATCCCGTCAACCTAAGGTGAGCCCTGGCGAGCACTGTAGCTGAAACTGTAAGAGCAGCCAGACACATGTATGCAGGCGCCAGTCTTCAGAACAATAGTATGAAGGGAAGGAGAGGAATTAAACAAATAAACAAAAATGGTTAAACCAACCTGAGAAATGCTTGCAGAGATTTGTCTTTAAAAATCTGATTTAAAAACTCTGGGGCCTCAGTCGCCTTCTCCTCTCTGGAAAGAAAGATGGCGGCCGCATGGGAGCCTTGTGGACAGCAGGTATGAGCCAGGGGACTGGGGGCGACTAAAACCTCATGGGAAGGGGGGCGTTTCGGTCCGCCCTTCACGCCCTACCGAGGCCACCAGTTGCCCCCCACTAGCGGCTCTCCAGCACGGCCACGACTCCAGAGAACAGAAACCAATTTCTTAACTATCTGACTTTCAGTAGAAATACTTCCAGGGTCAATAAGTAAAACAGCAGAAATCCAAAACCAACATATAATTCTTGAACCCAGCTGTAGAAAGCAAATCACTTCACAATGCTTTGTCAGCATGTCTGATTTGGGGGGGGGGGGGGGGACTCTAAATAATAGTGGTGAATCTTTTGTTGAAACAATGAATCTAATCAAAGCAGATAGAGTGTTGACTAGAGTTCATCTGCCCCACAGGGACTGGGAGGGGTGGGGGGTGGGGTTTTATTGGGGTTCTTCATGGTGAAGGATAAGTTTTGGTAAAGGGAAATGTGCTTGATATTTGCATGACTGAGACCTAAACCTGAAAGCTTTGTAACCTTTCCCATGGTGATTCAATAAATAAATAAATAATTTTTAAAAAAATTTTAAAAAAATAAAAAAAATAAAAACTCTGGGGCCTGAGTGATGTACCTCAAGGACCGTGCTTGCCTTGCACAAGGATGAAGTGAGTTGGATCCCTGGCACCCCAAATGGTGCCCTGAGCCCTACCATAATGATCCCTGAGCACAGACAGAGCGAGGAGTAAATCCTGAGCATCACCAGTGTTGCCGCAGAACAAAAATAAAAAAAAACAGAAAAGAAAAAAAATTCAAGATGTCTTAAAAATGGGAAAAAGTATTTTTAAAGTTCACACGGACGAGAGCAATAGCACAGCGAGTAGGGTGTTTGCCTTGCACAAGGCCGACCCGGGTTCGATTCCTCTGTCCCTCTCGGAGAGACCTGCAAGCTACCGAGAGTATCCTTCCTTCCGGCAAGGCAGAGACCGGCAAGCAGCATGTGTAGTATTGGATATGCCAAAAATAGTAACAACAAGTCTCACAATGGAGACATTCCTGGTGCCCGTTTGAGAAAATTTATGAACAACTGGAGGACAGTGCTACAAAGTTCATACAGAGTAACCAATCAATGGAAAAGAAAAGAAGGCCGAAAGGATAGTTCCAGAGGCTAAAGCACATGCTTTGTCCTTTAAAGTCCCAGGTCTGATTCCCAGCACTGCATGGTCCTCTGAGCACCACTAGGAGTTGGCTCTGAGCATCACCAGTGTGACCCAAAAGCCTCTGCCCACAAAAATCAGGATCAAAGAGACAGTTCAACAGGCTGAGCATGTACGTTGCTTGCAGAAAGCCCAGGTGTTATCCCTGGCACTAGAGTGTCCCCTAAGCACTGTCAAGGGCAACCCCCAAGCACTGGGCTGAGACTCACCCTTACAGGTGCGGCCCAAGAAACAAAAATCTTGAGAAAGAGTACTGAGGTATGGCCATCAGTCCTGTGTGTTATATATTATAAGGTACAAGAATTCAGAGGTTGCTGGAAGCTTGCCACAGTGGGAGGTGAGTGGGTAGGGCAGTTAGGACACAGAAGGGACCAGTACGGTAATGAGAGTTGGAAATGATCACTTTGGACAAGAACTAAGTGCTGAAAGAAAGTAAAGAAATATACATGATAACCTACAATGCCTAAAAGGGGGGGGGGGGAGAGAGAGAGAGAAAGAGAGGGAAGGAGGAGAGGAGAGGGAAGGAAAGGGAGGGGAGAGGAAAGGAGGGGAGAGGTGTCTTTCAGAGGCAGGTTAGGGGTGGTAGGCGTTGGAAACTGGAGACATCATAATCAGTGGTGGGAAATGTGTGCTTGTGAAGGGATAGTGTTGATACATTGTATGACTAAAATCTAATCAAGACAAACTTTGTAACTGTATCTCATGATGATTCGATTTTTTAAATAAACAAATAAATAAGAAAAATTCATAGGCTAAAATTCACTGTAAGTTGGTCAATAAAATAGACAGTCAAGAAAAGATACTACTCGGGCTGGAGCAATAGCACAACGGGTAGAGCATTTGCCTTGCACGCAGTCGACCCAGGTTCGATTCCCAGCATCCCACATGGTCCCCTGAGCACCGCCAGGAGTGATTCCTGAGTGAAGAGCCAGGAGCAAGCCCTGTGGATTGCCGGGTGTGAAACAAAAAGGAAAAAAAAAAGAAAAAGAAAAGATACTACTTCATTGAAAACAGTATTACTTGATTATAATAATACTAGAACCAGTTTGGGGAGGTGGGAATTATCCAATAAATGACACAAGAACATTAAGTTGCAAGAGATAAAAGTAACTAACTTGGATTCAAACTCCTCAAATTAATTTCAGGTGTATTAAAGATTTAAAAATAAAAGATTAAACAGGAAAACAAAAGGCTATGTTTTTAAAATAATTCCAAAGTCGCTAAAGTCTTTTTGAGAAAGAAGCAAAACTCAACAGTCACCGAAAAACCGACCAACTCAAGTACTTAAAAACAAAATATTTCTACAAAAGAAAAAAAAACCTAATACATTCAATCAAAATACAATAGTGAAAGAATTATCACGTCACATGGGATGGTTTTCCATATGATAAGCATGGATACACAGAAATGAATCTCAGAACCCAGTAGCCCATTGCAGAGATTTCTCCAGACTCTAATTATTTAAAATATTAGAATTCCAGGAGTGCATGGCCACAAAAGTGGCCACACGACATCTCATGCTATTTGTAACAAGCAATACAAAATAAATTATCTAGCATCTGCCTGTCAGGCAGGCTTGAGTGGTGGTGGGAAGGTGTAATGGTGTTG